AAAACGGAAAACTTACTTCTGGGTTTGCAGTGCTTGGGTTCCAAGCTGTTTGAGTACCAAGGTGTTTGAGAACCAAGGTACCACTGTATTGAGTGAGATCATTGGCCCTTCTAGCTACATGGACTGGCAGTGGAGCTCCAGGATTTCAGACAGGACTCTCTTGCACTGCTACTTGGAGATGGCAGGGATTGAACCTGCGAGCTTCCGCCTGCAAGGCAGATGCTCTGACCACTGAGCTACGGCTCTTCTCCAAAGTCCTAGCCCTTCCCCCCCCCCTTCTTACTTGACAGGATTGGCCATGCTCAAGATGCCTATTTCTGATCAATGGATTTTCTGGTCTTCTTCTTATTAAAAAAAAAGTGTCTGATTTGATTTGCTTGTCTCCAATTTCCTGTTGCTATGATAAGAGTTATAGATCTGTACATTTGTATCTCCCCCCACCCCTCTCTCAAGCCCAGTTCAGGAAGCTTAAGTGCATATCAGACATGGTAAATGACACACAAATTTGCTAAAGGAAAAAAGCATTTCCAAAGCTGTCACTCTGCAATCGTTTATAAAAGGAGGCCGTGGGAGGGGGGGAGGGTGTCAGTAACTGGAGTTCTGTGAGAACACTGAATTATGCCTTGCAGGACACACACACACAACCAGAAAGAAAAACAGAAGCAACATCACCTCACATTAGCAAAAAGAACAACACATCAATTCTAATTTAACCCTACATATTAATATAAGCAGTCTATGTGTTCAAACAGATTGATGGTAACGAGACAGTGTGATGCAGCAGCAAAAATAGCTTTGGAAAGGGTAATGCAATTATTTGCTGCAGCAACACAAGTATAGCGTCCAGATCAAGGGAAGTAATTGTACCACTCTACAGTGGTACCTTGGTTTACGAACTTAATCCATTCCAGAAGTCCGTTCTTAAACAGAGGCGCGCTTTCCCTAATGAGGCCCCCCACCAATGATGCCCTTCCACCGTTCCGCTTCCATTCGTAGACCAAGGTAAAGTTCGCTGACCGGAACACTACTTCCAGTTTTGCGGAGTTCTTATACCGAATAGTTCGTAAACAGGGCTGTTCTTAAACTGAGGTACTGCTGTATTCTACCTTGGTTAGATCGCACCTGGAGTCATCGTTGTTTAAGGATATTGATAAGCTGGAAGGTGTGCAGAGGAGGGTGACCAAGATGATCAAGGGTCTGGAAACTCAAGCCTCATTAGGAACAGGTGAAGCAATTTGGTATGTTTAGCCTGGAAAAGAGGGAACTGAGCGGCGATACTATAAAGGTAAAGGAACCCCTGACCATTAGGTCCAGTCGTGGCCGACTCTAGGGTTGCAGCGCTCATCTCGCTTTATTGGCCGAGGGAGCCGGCGTACAGCTTCCGGGTCATGTGGCCAGCATGACTAAGCCGTTTCTGGTGAACCAGAGCAGCGCCCGGAAACGCTGTTTAGCTTCCCGCCGGAGCGGTACCTATTTATCTACTTGCACTTTGACGTGCTTTCGAGCTGCTAGGCTGGCAGGAGCTGGGACCGAGCAACGGGAACTCACCCCGTCATGGGGATTCAAACCGCTGACCTTCTGATCGGCAAGCCCTAGGCTCTGTGGTTTAACCCACAGAGAAGCGGTTCTCTGAACCAGCTGGCAATCCCTTCTGAGTGGAGAGATGCTTTCACACGAACGCTTCGTTCCATTAGTACCACCAACCCTCCCTCCCTATTCAGAGTCCCACCACAACTGTGCCAGTGACCACTGGCACGGAGAAGCTGAATGAAAGGGGGGAGGGCATGAATGTGGAGGAAAAGTGCAATGCATTTTAACAAGCTCTTAATGGAAGGCAACAGCTGGGAGCAATCTAGAGCGATAGGCTGTGGGTGATGACCCATCACGCTGTCTCCAAGCCCCCAGCAACCACCCTGCGATCTCTGGCCCTCCATCCAGGCACCTCTGGTTAATAGGCTATACGTGCTGAATTAATACCCTGCTGGGGCACACGCTGCCTGCACTTCCCCCAGCCAAGCTCCTTTCCGATGGCACTCTTTAACAAGTTCACCCCTAACAGCTAGCACATCGATGATGCATTGTGCCATTACAGCTTCCTACTCACAGCACTGTTTAAAAAATAAGGAGAATACAAGGCTATAAAAAGCTGGTAATTTATGACTCCCTGCAGGTAAACTGTGAGCTCTGGGGCTGTGATCACATAACTCAATGACTTCGGAGTTTGATGAGATCAGGTTGTCCCCATATAGCTTCTTCCCTGTCCCCTTGCAATGGCTTCTGCTGTAGGTCTGTGTGTGTGTGTGTGTGTGTGTTTAGATCAAAACCTGTTGCCAGCAGGCATCTATGTATTATATTAGAACCTGTTGTTTACCACACTTAAGAGGGAGACACCTTCTCTCTCTCTTTTTAAATTGCATTTATATCCCACCTTTATTTCCTTGGCTCTGAGCCTTCTTCCCCTGGGGTTTCCCTCCCACCACTCCTCTACATTCAGCCAGTCCATGACTCCTGATCTATTAGGTCCTAGTCCAGCATTCTAAACACTGCTCTGCACTGGTTCACTGTCAGGCTTCGAGGAATCCGATCCCTCCCACTGTGGCAGCCAAGAAGCAGATAAACAAGAGTTCTTACCAAGTAAAGGTAAAGGGACCCCTGACCGTTAGGTCCAGTCGTGACCGACTCTGGGGTTGTGGCGCTCATCTCACTTTATTGGCCAAGGAAGCTGGCGTACAGCTTCCGGGTCATGTGGCCAGCATGACTAAGCCGCTTCTGGCGAACAAGAGCAGCGCACGGAAACGCCGTTTACCTTCCCGCTGAAGCTGTACCTATTTATCTACTTGCACTTTGACTTGTTTTTGAACTGCTAGGTTCGCAAGAGCTGGGACGGGAGCTCACCCCGTCACGGGGATTCGAACCGCTGACCTTCTGCTCAGCAAGCCCTAGGCTCTGTGGTTTAACCCACAGCGCCACCCGCGTCCCTTCTTACCAAATACTTCATTCAATATTCATTCAATATTCACAGAGAGATGAAGAAATGCAGTCTCTCTTAGATAATGGCGTTGCTCCAAGTCCCACCCTCTCTGTCTCTCCTATTCTGCGTCACCCCTGTGCCAGCTGATCTGAGCTTTCTGCCTCTGAGCTTTCTGTTCCACTACTCTCGATGCCCGCTTAGTCCTGGGAGATGGGGGGGCGGTCTGGAATGCTGTCTAAAGACATGTGAGTCTGTTAGCTGTCTCTCCCCTGGTGTTTCTTCTTCTTCCTGCTGCTCTCCCAATATTTCCCAGCTTCTCCCCTCTGCCGCCTCTGAACCTTCTGCAAACCACTGTTGTAAATCTATACTGTTCTCCTGTTTCCAGGAAGGTTCGGGGGAGGACAGTCCCCACCATTCTTCCTCAGTCCAGCCCCCGACATTCACCTTCTTCCTTGTCCCATTTCTTAGTAGCCTTATGGTGGTTTTAGACTGCTCAATGCGATTACAGGGACAAGAGATATTTTGCACTAGATCCACGATCCTCCAGGGCTTCAGTCACACAGGCGTTGTCGCCATCCAGACATGGTGAGCGCAATGCTCTTGCAATGGGGCTGCCCTTGAAGACACTGTAGAGATCTTGAATGGTTCAAAAGCCAGGATGCTGGTAGGAGGTCTCGAAGCACTCTCCCTACAGCAGCTACATTGGTTACCAATTTGGTTGCAGCTTCAAGGCATGCTTTCTTGTGCTGGTTTTTCCCTTCAGAGCCCTAAACGTTCTGGGACCCGGTTACTGAAAGGCCTGGCTCTTTGCCTTTATGTTGTTTTTTTTAAAATATTTTTTATTGGAATTTTATTTACAACATAACATAAACCCCCCACCCCCCAATACACAATTCACCCTCATTAAACGTGAACATAACATACAGTGAGCATAATATACAACAATACAAACAACGAAATAAAAGACTTCCTTTATCCTGTATCTGGCCTCCTTATTTACTTCTTATAAACTGTTTACTTTATGAATAATTATTAAGATTTTTCTAATTAGAACTTAAATATCCACAAAGTCTCCTGCAGACATTAATCGAAACAAGTCCAGGTATGTATTTTAGGGCACTGTTTTGTGAAGTATTCTCTGCATTTTCCCCATGCTTTTTGAAACTCTTGTCTAGGGTGATCTCTAATTGCCTCTGTTAATCTAGCCAGTTCAATATACTCAGTTCAATATATACTGAGTTCAATATACTCAGTTTGTCTTGCCGTTCCCTTTTTGTTGGCAGTTTCTTTTTTCCAGTTTTTAGCAATTGGGATCCTTGCCGCTCCTGTGGCATAGAGGAATATTTTCTGATCGTCTCTTGCTATACCTGCGTCCGTTATCCCTAGTAGAAAAGCTTCTGTATTTTTCATAAAGTTATGCTTAAACATTTTTTAAAGCTGGTCATTTACTGTGTTCCAGAAGCTTTTGATTTTTTCACAGGTCCACCAAACATGTATAAGTGTCCCCTCTATTTTACACTCTTTGCCTTTATGAACCTACCTGGTTTATAAGATCCTCAGAGCAAGCCCTGCTCTCCCAGTAGATTGGACCCAATTGGCGAGTCAGGCCAATGATGATGGGAGGTGAAAAAGCCCAGCAAAAAAACAAGGGCCACAGATCTCCCATCGCTGCTCTGCAATGAGGGCTTTTAAACAGGTGGCACCTTGACAGGTGCCCAATGATGCCAGCCCTGTCCTCAGCCTTGCCATCAGCACACCAAGTGCAGTGCCCACACCAGCTGCAGATCCCTGGCACACAAACGCACAGCAGCCAAGGGCCAAATCTTAAACACAACACTGGGCATGTGCAATGTAACAGGGGTTAAAACTCTTGGTGTTCCCCCTGCGCACATTTAAACTAGGCAGCAAAGAGAAGGAAGTCAAACAACGCAAGTTTGGACACTCAAATGGTACTGCCGATTTAATATTCTCTCCCACCCACATGTCCCAAAATCTTGGTTCTGTAGAAATATTACAAGTACACAGGAAGTACAAATTTCAGCTGAACTTTATTTAAACAACAACAACAGATATTCCCACCCTCTGCAGGTAAAGCAAAGAATCAAAGTTGGAGGGCCTGCAAAATCCAGGGAGCTATGGAGTTCTTGCTGGAGTGGTTGATGGCATCTGTGGGTTAGGATGGTTTCCCACCCCCTCCCCATTTTCTTCTGCTTTCATCTTACAGAACGCTTCCTCCTTCTGAACTTTCTCTCCCAGGGTTGGTGGGTCTTAGCCCCACACCCACCACGCTTTGGAGCCACACTGTGGGAAGATGAGCACTTTGGATCTGGTTAATCCAAAGTGCACCCCTCCATAACGTCCCCCCTTTTGCTAATCCCCACAGTACTGACAGCGGAGCCACAAAGGGCAGAATAGGTTTGCCCCTCACAACGGAGAGCCTTGAGATGGGACCATTCTACCCTAGGACACCCTTCCAAGGACTGCCAGAGCGAACCCTTCAGTGCCCAATCGGCTGACTTCTTCCATTAGCAATTTTCACATTTTCTTTTTTCTCATCAAACCATTACATTAAATAAGGTCCACTTCGTTTTGATTCTCCTTTGCATTTTCCACATTATATATGCATGAACTTGAGCAGCAGGACAGCTGTCAATAATCAGAAAAGCTGAAAAGACATACATGTACATCCTGTATCAGGGATGGGAAGGATGTGGCACCGCCCCAAGATTCCAGCTCCAATCAGCACCAGTCAACACGGCCACCGTATGATGAGGATGGGAGCTGTAGTTCAACATCTGGAGGCCCGCAGGTTCCCTGTTCCTGTTGTATTTCCTCCGCAACACTGGGAGCAAAGACATAAGGGACACCGCCTGGTGTTCTGAAGGGCGTCCTGGTTGCGTCAGCAGAGTCATCCCCACTGGAGATTGGGCGGGACCTGCCATCCACCAGGAGGCGGAGCCTGCAGGGAAGGTGGAAGATCCTGGACCGAAGGCCAACCAGGTGGATACTGGAAAACTGACTCTTCCTCGGAGAGGGGACTGAGAGAAGAAAAGCACAGCATTGGAAATCAGATACTTTTTTATATTAAAAAAACAACAACCCTACAAGACTCCATATTTCTACAGAGCTTTTGCAGGGCTCAGGGCACACCACCAACATCTCAGTAACCTTTGCAACAACAACCCTGTGAGGTAGGGTCAGTGTCAACATCTCAATATTGCAAACAGGGAGGGTCAGACTAGGCAGCGGTTCTCAACCTGTGGGTCCCCAGATGTTATTGGATTACAACTCCCATCATCCCTGAGCTCTGGCCTTGCTAGTTAGGGGCGATGGGAGTTGTAGTTCAACAACATCTGGGGATGTCAAGGTTCGAGGACAGAAATCTGTCTGAGTCTGGAATAACCTTGTGAAGTGAAAGGATATGAAAGAGGGATTTATATCTAGATGTTAGGATAGAGATGATAAAGAAAACAGGAAAACAGGAAGACGCAATGAGAGATAAAGGAGGTGCTGTGGGATTGGTGGAAGTCAATGTCTTGCTGTTGTTGTTTTAGTGTCTATAATATTAACTTGCAAGATATGGATTTGTTTTTTTGTTGTTGTTGCTTTCTTTAGTTTTCGAATGTTGATTTTTGTGTGTTGTGTATTGTTATTTTTCGATATCTTTCGTGTTGTTGTTGTTGTGTGGAAAATACTAATAAAATTTATTTACTTTTTTTAAAAAGAGCACTCTCCCCTCCCACATTGCTGCTTCCAACTGTGGAGGCAGAGCTTTGCAATCACCTAAATCTCGCGCCCCGCCCCCCCCCCAGCTGCAGAGAGTGCATTACCTGTCAGTCTGAGTTGTGCCAAGCCGCTTGGCTCTCTTCTCCAGCCACTCATCAATGGTGCCAGGCGTGACGACTGCCTTGTCCTGCCGCTGCTCTTTCGCCCTCCTCTCTTCTGTTTTTTTGGAAAGACGGACAAGGGCAATCTCATTTAGACCGACAGCCCCATTGAACACACTCGTGGTTATTTCCCCTTGTATTCCTGCACCTGACAGTTCTGGCCCGGGCGCCATGGTTCCCTTTACGGAACCACCTTCCCAGCTGCCATTCCGTCTGCGATTTGGCCAGTTCTGGATAGATGGTTCTGCCTTCCCATCTTATCCAGTCCTCCACCTACGCAGCTCCAAATCCTGGAACAGCTTTTTTTCAAAAGAACAACAGCAACAACGTCCTTTGCCTTGGCAGAATTTGTACAGGCTGGGAGGATCACCGAGTGCGGTCCACACGGCAGTTAAAAAGAAACCGGGGAGAGGGCCAATGAGACTCACAGGTTGTGCACAGAGCAGAAAGAGAAGGGCCAGCTGCAGTTCCTGCTTCAGAAGACAGGTCCATGTTGCTGTCCGAAAACAGACAGAAGAGCCACAAGAACATCAAAAGAGCTCTGAAGGATCAGGCCAATAGTCCAGCATTCCTGTTCTCTCTGTGGCTAACCAGAAGCCTTTTCTGGTAAGCCCACAAGCCAGACCCGAATACAAGAGCATGCTCTCCTCCTGTGGCAATTCAGAAGCATTACTGTCTCCGACTGTGGAGGCAAAGCAGAGCCTTTGTGATGCTGAACAGCTGTTGATCAGCCTTCTCCTCCACAAATTTGTCCAGTCCTGTTTTAAAGCCGCCCCGATTGGCAGCCATCCCTGCCCTCCTGCAGCAGCGAGTTCCATAGCTCAACGGAGCAATGGCATGACTGCAAGGCACAAGAAGAAGGAGGAGGAGGAGGAGGAGGAGGAGGAGGAGGAGGAGGAGGAGGAGGAGGAGATTTGGAAACAGGTTTGATGCCTGAAGTATTGACGCAACCTTGGCTTGGTGCAGCCGAGTTACTGTGTGAGGAAGCACTTTTGTCTGTCCCAAATTTTCCAACGCTTGAAGTTGTTGGAAGTCCTAGTACAGTAGTACTGGAGGTCCATTCTTAACCTGAAACTGTTCTTAACCTGAAGCACCACTTTAGCTAATGGGGCCTCCTGCTGCTGCTTCTGCCGCGCCGCCAGAGCACAATTTCTGTTCTCATCCTGAAGAAAAGTTCTTAACCAGAGGTACTATTTCTGGGTATGTGACCCGAGGTACCACTGTATTAGAAAAAAGGGGTACTAGATCTTGTGGGATCAAATTCTGCGGTTTATGTGTTGAGAGCAGTACAGTTGCTGGAAACTCCAGGAGGGACTTGAGTCTTTGCTTGCAGGCTTGCCAGAAGAAGCACTTGGTTGGCCACTGTGAGAACAGGATCTGGATTAGATTGACTATTGGCCTAATCCAGTAAATAATAATAATTATATTATTTGTACCCCACCCATCTGACCGGGTTGCCCCAGCCATTTTGGGCAGCTTCCATCTTATATAAAAACATAATAGCACATCGCACATTAAAAAGATTCCCTATACAGGGCAACCTTCAGATGTGTCTTGAAGATAATATAGTTACTCATCTCCTTGACATCTGATTGGAGGGCATTCTACAGGTCGGGTGCCACTACCAAGAAGGCCCTCTGCCTGGTTCCCTGTAACCTCACTTCTCGCAGGGAGGGAACCACCAGAAGGCCCTCAGAGCTGGACCTCAGTGTCAGGGCTGAACAAAGGGGGTGGAGACGCTCCTGCAGATATACTGGGCCGAGGCTGTTTAGGGCTTTAAAGGTCAGCACCAATACTTTGAATGGTGCTCGGAAACGTACGGGGAACCAGTGCAGATCCTTTAGGACCAGTATTATGTGGTCCCGGCGGCTGCTCCCAGTCACCAGCCTAGCTGCCGCAAACCCCATGATGGCTATTGCTCTGCCTCAGTGGTCAAGAGGCAGCAATGCTTCTAAACATCAGTTGCTGAAACTCACGGGAGAGAAAAGTGAACTTGTGCTCAGGGCCTGCTTTCTGGCTTCCCACAGGCATCTGGTTGGCCACTGTGAGAACAGGATGCTGGCCTGATCCAGCAGCCAGCCTCTTCTTACACACAGGCTGAATTTCTACACCCTTGGTTCAGGAATCTGCGCGGGCTTGGAGGTGTGGTTTCCCTGCCGCCGGGTTACGACTGGGGCAGAACTCGCATTCTCACCCTCCGTCCCTGAGCAGGGACACGGGACTCACACTGATGGAAATCTTGCCTTGGCGACCCAAAGCAAGCCCCATCCCCAGGATAGTCTCTCCTTTCAAAGGAGGCCTGTGCTGTTGCTTTTTTACGGCTTTGGTGCATTAATGCATATTCGGGGAGGGGAAACATCCTGGCTCGTTGACATTAACAGCGCAATCACGGGCCCGAAGGCAGAATAAGCTAGAGACAGCTTGAGTGATTGCAGGAGGCAGTGGGGAGGAAACGTTCCATTCATCAGAAACGAGAACACAGATTCCTGGGGGCACCTGAATACCAAAAAAACGCAATGGGAAAGCGGAGAGAGAGGGACTTGGACAACGCTGCTCCCCATACTAATGATCAGATCACCCTGCCCAGTCCCCAGAGGAAACCATGCCAGAACAGAATCCTAAAAAGGCATCTCCTATCAGCTACCCCAGAGGACCCCCCACCCACCCACCTCCTGCAGCACCCACCCTCCTGCCAACCACCTGCTCCAAACCAAGACGGTGCCATATGTCACGCTTTTAAGCAAAATGTTAAACATTTTCCGACAGGGTGTGAAATTAACACCGCCACCACTCCAGCAGAGTGAAGGATCGCGCCAGCTCGGCAGTGGCAGCCAATTATTCTTCCAACCTGTTGAATATTCATGAGTGCAGCCGGGGAAAGAGGGGGGAAAGAGGGAGGAGGAGCCAGAAACGGGTAACATGGAAGAGTCTCCCCACCCCCTCCATCCACCTCACAACCTCTCTGGTTTAGGTTCAAGAGAGGAGCCAAAAACAGGCATTTTCTACCGTTGTGGAATGCCTTGCCCCATCCATCATCCACTCATTGTGTCATATGCCTTGAAAAGACATCTTTTTGCCCAGGCTTTCCCTGACCCAGAAAACTGGCCCTGTTACTACTGAATTTCCAATTTGTTTGTAATAATGCTGCTTTGTTTTTTTTGAAATGTTACAGCTCCGTTTTCAACAATACAGTGGTACCTCAGGTTAAGAACTTAATTCGTTCTGGAGGTCCGTTCTTAACCTGAAACTGTTCTTAACCTGAAGCACCACTTTAGCTAATGGGGCCTCCCGCTGCCACCGTGCCGCAGGAGCATGATTTCTGTTCTCATCCTGAGGTAAAGTTCTTAACTCGAGGTACTATTTCTGGGTTAACGGAGTCTGTAACCTGAAGCATCTGTAACCTGAAGCGTCTGTAACCCGAGGTACCACTGTACCGTTTTCAAGTTGCCTTCATGCATACCGCTTAGAGATGTCAAACTATCGAGTGGTTTAGAAATGCTTTTAAAATAAATGAATCACAAATCTCCTGTGTTGTGCCTGGCCTGGCCCTACCCTTGCCCAGGAAGGGTATAAAACACCTTGCTTACCCCCAGCCTGTCCAAGTGAAATTCATATTGCTTCCCCTCAAAGCGGGGCTTGGACAAGGCCCCCACCACCCCTGACTTTAGCCTCTTTTCCATACTTACATAGGAAGCTGCCTTAGTCCACCTAGCTCAGTATTGTGTACACTGACCAGCTCTCCAGGATTTCAGCCAGGCGCCTCTCTCATGTCTACCTGGAGATGCTGGCGGGATTGAATCTGGGATCTCCTGCTTGCTAGACACCCTACCATTGGGCTACGGCCCTTCCCCAAAGACAATGGGATAATTGTTAAATTGTCAATAACTTCCATAAAACACAAACGCTGCAGCCATAGCTCCCCACCCCCATCCAAGAGCCCCCCACCCCCCAAAAAGCATTGTGTGTTCAGTTTATCTTGCTCAGAACTCCCAGGGAGATAGCAAAGAAAGCTTAACCCCAACCGAGTGCCCCTTTCTGCACAGTGGGGACACGAAAAATCAATTGCAGCAGGCTTGCCAAATGCCAGAAGTCTAGGCAGCAGGGTCGTCTTTGCAGGGGACAGTCTTTAATTAAAAAGGTTTCGATTTGTGGAATCAAGCAGAGGAGGTGGGGATGGAGAGTTGCCTTTCTCTCTCTCTCCAGCTGATTCAATTATTTGCTTTTGCCCAGCCCATTTACCCTACCCATTGATAATCAATAGCTGTATAATTGGTGAACAAACACAAGAGGAGCTGGGAACAGCTGCTCGGATCTCTCTGGCCTTCCCTGCCTCCACTTTGCAGTGGAGGCTGCGGAGTGGGGGGCTGCGTTTGGGGAAAGATGCCCATCACAATGACCGCAGTCAAGGCTCTGGCAAGAAGCCAGCCTCAGTGCCATAGCAGGCATAATGTAACACAGGAGATGCTGGCTTGCTCTTGGCTTAAAGGCAGCCTAACAGTGATTTAACAGGGTTAAATTTAACAGGGACACGGGTGGCGCTGTGGGTAAAAGCCTCAGCGCCTAGGGCTTGCCGATCGAAAAGGTCGGCGGTTCGAATCCCCGCGGCGGGGTGCGCACCCGTTGTTCGGTCCCAGCGCCTGCCAACCTAGCAGTTCGAAAGCACTCCCGGGTGCAAGTAGATAAATAGGGACCGCTTACTGGCGGGAAGGTAAACGGCGTTCCGTGTGCGGCTCTGGCTCGCCAGAGCAGCGATGTCACGCTGGCCACGTGACCCGGAAGTGTCTCCGGACAGCGCTGGCCCCCGGCCTCTTGAGTGAGATGGGCGCACAACCCTAGAGTCTGTCAAGACTGGCCCGTACGGGCAGGGGTACGTTTACCTTTTAACAGTGATTTGCACAGGGTCTACAGAAGGGATTAGCACTTTTCCTTATGCTTATCCCACACCCTGTTAAGGCCACAGGTGCCTACGTTCTCCAGACCCCATTTACCTTGCACATGAGCATTCAGCCGCTCCAGATCTTCCTCCGTCATGTGGGAGAACCTGCAGTTGGGGCCGAAATCACACCGTCCTGCCGAGAGATCCAAAGCAAGCACAATTTTAAAGAACGAAACCACAGCCTCAGGGGGACAAAGGAGCTAACGACCACAGCAAGACCAAGAGATATTACAGCATTCAAGAATTGTCAAAACTTGCATCACACACACACCCTTTCCATTACTGGCAGTATGGCCCTTCCTGTGTACAAAACTCCATTCACGGGATTTTTATATAACCATTTGAGCAAACAAATTCAATTATTTATTACAGTCCGCATCTATTGCCACCTGCCGCAAATTGAAAATTAGGGAGAAATAAATGCATTGCGACAGCTACTAGCTTCAGCAGTTTCAAAAGGGTGGGAAGACAAATACATGGAGGCTTAAAGGTCAAGGTAAAGGGACCCCTGACCATTAGGCCCAGTCGTGACCAACTCTGGGGTTGCGGCGCTCATCTCGCTTTATTGGCCGAGGGAGCTGGCATACAGCTTCTGGGTCATCTGGCCAGCATGACTAAGCCGCTTCTGGAGAACCAGAGCAGTGCACGGAAATGCCGTTTACCTTCCTGCCGGTACCTATTTATCTACTTGCATTCTGACGTGCTTTCGAACTGCTAGGTTGGCAGGGACCAAGCTCACCCCGTTGCGGGGATTCGAACCGCTGACCTTCTGATCGGCAAGTCCTAGGCTCTGTGGTTCAACCCACAGCGCCACCCGCATCCCTTCAGGGAGGCTTACTGATAGACAAATAGAACCTCCAAGCTCAGAGGCAGTATATCTTTAAACAGTAGTTGCTAGGAGGCGACAGCAGAGGGACAGGGCTGCTGCCCTCTTGCAGGCTTCCAAGAAATATCTGTTTGGCCGCTGCAGGGAATCTAGACCAGGTAACCAAACAATTTAACCCCTGTGTTGCAAACAGTAGTTAGTAATATCCAAGGCAACACAATGACTAAATACAATGATACGATATCAATATACACTCTTTATATAATATGAAATACTTCATCTGGGAGGACTTAATTCTGAATTGGATCTCAACTGTTTCATTTGATTCTTTATTTTCTGGCTGTTACTGCACTGTACCTTTAAAACTCAATCTCCCTGTTATGAGCACCACCTGGGGTCGGTTTTTTATATTTTGGATAACATACGGTCAGTAGCCGTAGTTCGCAAACAGACGTTGTGAACATTGATTCCGGATATACCCACTGTTTCGTGAAATTCTTCAGCACAGCAGAAGGATACAGAAATGCTTCAAAAACTATAAAAGAATATTAAAGCAATGACCTGCATATGCATGGTAACTACAATAAACTCAAAATATTATTTTGACAGTAGCCGCAGGGAGAAGACTCTTGAGAGTCCCATGGACTGCAAGAAGATCAAACGCATCCATTCTTAAGGAAATCAGCCCTGAGTGCTCACTGGAAGGACAGATCGTGAAGCTGAGGCTCCAGTACTTTGGCCACCTCATGAGAAGAGAAGACTCCCTGGAGAAGACACTGATGTTGGGAAAGATGGAGGGCACAAGGAGAAGGGGGCGACAGAGGACGAGATGGTTGGATAGTGTTTTCGAGGTTACCAGCATGAGTCTGACCAAACTGCGGGAAGTAGTGGAGGACAGAGGTGCCTGGCGTGCTCTGGTCCATGGGGTCACGAAGAGTCGGACACGACTAAACGACTAAACAACAACAAAAACGGTCAGTAGCGGTGACTACATAACTTTATGACCACTGCTCCATAGCAATTGTTGTTATACTTTTCCATTTACCATATATATGGGGTATGTACCTTTGGTTTTATTTCACATTATTTTGACATTATAGTTTATGTGTATAGTTCATAATATTTTGAGTTTATTGTAGTTACCATGCATATGCAGGTCATTGCTTTAATATTCTTTTATAGTTTTTGAAGCATTTCTGTATCCTTCTGCTGTGCTGAAGAATTTCACGAAACAGTGGGTATATCCGGAATCAATGTTCACAACGTCTGTTTGCGAACTACTTCGGCAGCATAGGGCGCCATAAACAAAGCTTTACAGCCTGTTTTCACCAGATAAGAATCTGATACATTGCTTGCATGTATCAGAGACTTGCATAGTCTTCAAAGACTATCAGAGACTTACAAGACTTATGTTTATTTTATTTTTTTTTAAAGATATTTATTAAAGTTTTAAACAATGAAACAAACTTCACATTCACAACCAGATAGAAAAAAAGAAAAAACACCATCACAATCAATCAAGAAAACCAAAAAAGAAAAATACAATAAAAAACCCCTAAAAAATAGAAGAAAAAAGACATAAAAAAGAGATAAAAAACCAGTTTCTTAGTTAGTGGAAGAGGACTGGAAGAAATTTAAAAACTACTTGCAAAAGTATTGCAAATTGTATGAATGTTAGAATGATGCAGGATATAAGGATAATATGGCATTAGTGACATAGTTGAAAGGAGTATGTAAAAAATGGTCTATAAGAAGAAAGGTGAAGGTAGAATAATATTATGTCAAAATTAAATAACTGATAATAAAAGGAAAAATTGGAGACATAATAGTTGAAATGTATAATACAAAATAAGATTTGAAAGAAGGTGAGGCATTGCTGAATAAGATTGTGTAAAAGGGAACACAGAAAAGGGAGATGTGAGGGAGTCTGGAAGGAGGGTTATGAAAACAATAACCAAGACTTATGTTTATTTGGTTTTATGTTTTCAAGAGAATCCATTAAGAGTGCATATTTTGTGACTTTCAGAGATTCGTAAGTTTTCTGTTTGTGATTTCATGTATTTCATATTATATAAAGAGTGTATATTGATATTGTATTTGGTCATCATATTGCCTTGGATATTACTGGGAATCTAGACCAGACAGACCTTTGGTCGGATCCAGCAGGGCATCCCCCATATTTGATACTCTTCTCCCTGCCCCTGAGAACAGCTTCTTGGGGGCGGGAGGAGCCCAATGAAAAGCATACCCGATAGCAGGAATTCCCGACACGGCTTCTTACTCTGCTCCTCCTGCAGGATGGTTGCATTATCTGTAGATGGCAAAAGATCATAGAAGCCTAAAGTTAGAAAGGGTCCCCAGGGTCATCTAGTCCAACCCCCTGCAATGCAGGAATCTCAGCTACAGCATCCATGACAGGTGGCCATCCAACCTCTGCTTAAAAGTATGGAGAGGATAATAATAATAATAAATAATAATAATAAATTTTATTTATTTCCCGCCCTCCCCAGCCAAGACTGGGCTCAGGGCGGCTAACACCAAACATAAAACAATTGATTGAAATACAACTTAAAAACAAGAGTAAAATACAACATTAAAATGCAGCCTCATTTCAGCAGAAACTCAAAAAACTTTTTGCGGGATGAAAACGTCAAGTCTTCACCAAGGCTAACTATCCAGACTGGTCCTACGCGGGCCAGAAAAAAGCCAGGGAAGTCCCCAAGCAGGAGTTCCGTCACAGAAGGAGAAAGGAAAAAGGAAAGAGGGGGAGGGGATCAAGTTGATTGCAAGCCAAAGGCCAGGCGGAACAACTCTGTCTTACAGGCCCTGCGGAAAGAAATCAGATCCCACAGGGCCCTGGTCTCATGAGAGAGAGCGTTCCACCAGGCCGGAGCCAGTGTTGAAAAGGCCCTGGCTCTGGTTTAGGCTAATCCGACCTCCTTAGGGCCCAGGACCACTAGGGTGTTGCTATTTATGGACCTTAAGGGATAAAATAAGGTGAGGGGGCCTCGCTCCGCACATCCACTAGGGCAAGCAAGAGGCGTCCGACAAGAATCCCACCCAGGCTTACAATCGGGCATTCCATATCCCCTGTCGGGAACAGCAGATGCCTCTGAATACCATTTGCTGGGACTTGTAAGTGGGAAGAGAGTGCTGTCATTCTCAGGTCCCATTTGCAGGCTTCCCCTAATAAGCATCTGCTTGGCCGCTGGATGGTGGACCAGATAAGCCACAGGCCTGATCCATCCGAAGGGTTCTTCTTTCTTACCAAGCAGCCTCTTACCTCGAAACAGATCGTACCAGACTTTCTTGGCCCGGAGGTGCTGAACCCCGTTTAGGTGCTTCTTCCTGTTGTGGAGGTTGTCCTGGAAAGAGCGGTTGCAGTAGTCGCAGAAATAGCGCTTCCCCATGGAGACGCTTGCTGAAGGAAACCTCTGCAGGGAAGATCAAATACAGTGGTACCTTGGGTTACATACGCTTCAGGTTACATACGCTTCAGGTTACAGACTCCGCTAACCCAGAAATAGTGCTTCAGGTTAAGAACTTTGCTTCAGGATAAGAACAGAAATCGTGCTCCGGCAGTGCGGTGACAGCAGGAGGCCTCATTAGCTAAAGTGGTGCTTCAGGTTAAGAACAGCTTCAGGTTAAGAACAGACCTCCAGAACGAATTAAGTACTTAACCCGAGGTACCACTGTACTGTTTACCCACATGTCAATGAAATGATCAGACTTTGGGAAACAAACCTCATAACGGGAAAGATTAAGAAAAGTGATGGATAATGAAAATAATAAGAAGCAAAATGTATAAGGAAACTAATATAACTAACAGTAGTGATAAATGAATACAGACAGACAACAAGAATTGTATAAACATGAGGACTTATTTGCTTATGGATACACTATGGACAAATATGGAAAATGAATAAAAATATATAAAATGGAAGAAAATAATGCGATCAAATTATATGTGATATAAAAACCAGAAGGAAGGAGGGAAGTCAGCTCTGAAGAGCAAGTATAAATGTAAAATGCAATAGAATACAGTGGTACCTCAGATTACATACGCTTCAGGTTACATACGCTTCAGGTTACAGACTCCGCTAACCCGGAAATAGTACCTCGGGTTAAGAAATTTGCTTCAGGATGAGAACAGAAATCGTGCTCCAGCGGTGCAGCGGCAGCAGGAGGCCCCATTAGCTAAAATGGTGCTTCAGGTTAAGAACAGTTTCAGGTTAAGAACGGACCTCCGGAACGAATTTAGTACTTAACCCGAGGTACCACTATATGTGCATGTGGAGTATCTAATTGAAAACCTAATAAAGATTATTTGAAGAAAAGAAAAAAGAAATGATCAGGTTTACTCCCACAAGATGTAGTGATTTGGGGGACAGCTTTAAAATAAGGATTAGACAAATTCATGGAACAGAAGGCTATCATTGGCTACTAAGCCACAATGGCTATGTTCTCTTCTTCACTAATGAAGGCAGTAAGCCTTTGAATACCAGTCACTGAGAATCACAAGTGGGAAAAGAGCTGGTGTCCTCAGATCTGGCTATGGGCTTCCCAGAAGAAGCATATGTTTGGTCACTCTGAGAAAAGGATACTGGACTAGATGGGTGTTTGGCCAGATCCAGCAGAAAGGCTCTCGATACGTTCTTACAGCTTCAGAGACTACAGCTCCCCCTCTTCCACTAGCCTCATTAACAGGCTAGCAATATTTATTTTTGCAGCCTAATACTATTTGTGGGCTCATTTCCCAGGCTGACTTAATAGGGTCTATTGCAGTAATAGCAATCCCATCCGCCTATAAATCTGATCAGCATTATTGCATACCGCTTCAAGAACCATGATGGTTGATAATCAGTATATAAATATTGTAAAAATTATAAAAAAAACAACAACAACATTACAGCTCAGCAGAGGAGACTAGTCTAATTTATGGTTGAGGCAGAATCATTTTGGGCTTCATCGATCAAATCAGCTCATTTGCTGCCCAGAAGGCAAGTGAGAGTTGCTTCGGATGCTGGGATGATGGTTGCAAATACTGTAGGTTGGAGTCTAGTAGTGGCACCTAGAAAGCTATTAAAGTCATAGAGGCACATGATTTTTTGAGCCAAAACCATAAATAAATATGGTGCTAGTTCCCCACCCACCCTTGAACTATTACTTTTGAATTTATTTATTTTTTAAATTCTTATAGCTACAATGGTAAAACAATTGCTCCTTATGCTCCACCTCAGTCACAAAGGTTCTCTGATGGGGCATTTCTGGTGGTTCCCGACTCCCCTGAGGTTTGGTTGGCCTCTACTGTATTTTAATCAACTTGTTTTTCTTATTGGTTGTTAGCCGCCCTGAGCCCGGTCTTGGCTGGGGAGTGCGGGGTATATTTAAAAATTTATTATTATTATTAATATTATTACTGGGGACAGAGCCTTTAGCATGGCAGGCCCTGCCCTGTGGAACTCACTGCCACTAAAAGTTTGACAGGAACCATCACTCCCTTCTTTCAGACGTCTTCTGAAAATGGTGTTATTTACACCAGCCTTTGCAAAGTGATTATTTTTTTTAACCAACTGGTATTTATGGACATTTGTTGTGATAGTTTATTGATGTTTTCATTCTTTTTGGAACTTTTTTTTTTAACAAGAATGCAATTTATAAAGCTTTAAACAAGCAAACAAACAATCAAGGAATTAGGCACCCAAACATTCCTAAGATGAGTCATACAAATGTTACTTTAAAATTGCTTCAAAATCTGTTTGTCTCTTCAGACACTGCCAGGTTCTTTGATGTTGTCTTTGCTGCAAAAATCTTAACATGGCTGCCAATCTGAAGTGATCTCTGCTGATGAATGATTGGTGGTAGAACATGTGTTTTGCAAGCCCCATCCGCCAGTTCAATCTCCAGTATCTCCAGGGTTGTTTTGTTTTGGGTTTTTTAAAGATCAGGTAATGGTGAGGTAATAGTGATGTATGGAAGTGAGAGCTGGACCATAAAGAAGGCCGATCGCCGAAGAATTGATGCTTTTGAATTATGGTCTGGAGGAGACTCTTGAGAGTCCCATGGACTGCAAGAAGATCAAACCTATCCATTCTTAAGGTAATCAGCCCTGAATGCTCACTGGAAGGACAGATCCTGAAGCTGAGGCTCCAATACTTTGGCCACCTCATGAGAAGAGAAGACTCCCTGGAAAAGACCCTGATGTTGGGAAAGATGGAGGGCACAAGGAGAAGGGGACGACAGAGGACGAGATGCCTGGACAGTGTTCTCGAAGCTACCAGCATGAGTTTAACCAAACTGCGGGAAGCAGTGGAAGACAGGAGTGCCTGGCGTGCTCTGATCCATGGGGTCACAAAGAGTCGGACACGACTAAACGACTAAACAACAACAACGGTGAGAAAGCAACGCGGGAAGCTGCCCTACATACCCAGACAAACCTTTGGTCAATATAGCTCAGTATTGCCAATACTGGCAAGCAGTGAACACTCCTTGTTCTATCCGATCATACTAGTGAAAGTCTCAGATATTTATATAATTTTATTTTTTATTTTGACAAAGTAATAATAATAAATAAATAAGAATAAAAATGTGCACCCCACCCCCGAGACCATTCCATTGTAACTATGCAGCCTCCCAAAATTTCATCACTTCTTGCGATGGTTTGACCCCTGTCCATTTTAACAGTACAAATTCTACAAACACCTTCCATATCTCCTCAAAATCATTTCTCCTGCATATTCCCCGTCTTACCTTAATAGCACATGTTAATTTACCATTAAAAGCTATTTCCCACACCTCTTTATACCAAAGTCTCAGGTTCAACCCCAGCATCTCCCGCCAGGGCTGGGAGCCTCTCCTGCCTGAACCTCTACAGAGCTGCTGCCAGTCCGTGTAGACAATACTGAGCTAGGTGCAGTATAAGGCAACCTGGATGGACAAGTGGGTCTTACCTGGTAGAAGGCAGGTAAATAAGAACCGAGGCCATGGGCGGCAAGGAAGTAAAGCAAAGTAAAGCAAAATAGCCCAACAGGCCACTCACCTCCCTTTACACAGACATCACAGGCATCGCCCCTCACACCTAGCAGAGGAACCCAGCAGGCAACATCTCTAACTATAGTACTCTATCCAACTAGCAGCTGCAGTTTGGGGCAGGCTTCTAAAATCCCCGGAAAGCACACAAGACTACGACTCCCAAAGGCATGAGCGCCCAAGGATCACGTGACACCAACCGTGGGGCACCCCGGGAAATGAAGTTTATCTACCCGGAAGACTACAGGTTAGGGTGCTGGAGCGGGACTCCAAAGCCCATCATTCCGCGCGGGAAAAGGCTTCGTTACCCATAAAGCTTTGGCGGCCGGAGGGGCCGCCCTTGCTAGAGGAGGCGAGAGCTGCGCGTGCGCGGTACCTGAAGGCTGCCGAAGATGACGCTCGCCAAGCAGGTCTACCGAGTGCTTTTACGCCGCAGCGCTACCTTCGCTCTCACGGTCGTGGTGGGCGCCTTGCTCTTCGAGCGAGCCTTCGACCAGAGCGCAGACTCCATCTTCGAGCAGGTTAACAAGGAGGTAAGTCGGCCTGTGGGGTCGCGCAGGCCCGAGCCGGGGACTTGCGTAGAACGCGGGCCGGGGCTGGGTGAAGGTCAAACGGGGCCTTGATACACGAGAGGCCCCGGCTTCCGGCCTCTCGCGCTTCTTCGAAACAGCTTAACGCCTGCTTGGGCTTTCTCTGTGTGTCTTGTATGGGGCCACCAGGAAGGTACGAGGGACAGTCTCCCAAACAAGCGAAATAAGGATCCTTATTTTATCTTGCAGGGGTGACCAATGAGAGGGGTGACCAATGTTAACTACCAGGATTGTGAGCATAGCGGGGTAATGAAATAATTTAATCAGTCACTAACGCACTTTAATTTATAGCAGAACTAACAACAGTTGAGACTACAGTTCCTAGAAGTCTTGGGGAGACGCCATGGCAGGTAAACTATAAACAAATAAGCTGCACCAAGTCAAGTCCCAAGTGCCTACTTAATGCTGAATTACATGCATGAACTTTTATTGTGCTAGCCAAAGGCCATGGCATTGTTATTCTATGGTTCTTGCCATCCGTTATGATCTGTTACCTCAGCTTTGAAATTTGTAGTTCAGGTTGTGCAGCATCTACTTGAGAAGAACAGATATTTCACCTTATACATGGAAGAGAACAATGGCCTGTGCTTCTGGGAGAGCCATAGGAAGTGGCAGCTTTTGCAAAAAGATCAAGGTCTCTTGCTCCCTCAAAAGATTCAGCAGTTTCTCTCCTGCTGCCCAGAATGCTTGGAACTGCTTTCCAGAAGACCTGTGGGATGCAACCTCATTCCTTCAAAATCCGTCAAACTCGTGTTTTCTGTGAAGCATTTGCCACAACCTTCTAGTTTTCATGTCCTACTGTATCTATAACCTTAAGAATGTGTAGCTGAAATAATGGCATATTTTTCCTGTTTTATTGTTCTCCACATCTTCCCTGTGACAGATATTCAGATTGTAATCTCCCTGGGGTAGGCACCTATCATCTGATCATCATCATTTTATTTATTTTTAGGCACTTTGGTGATCTATAAGGATGATAGAAACCAAGTTTTCTTATTCTGAGGGTTTCTTTTGCTGTTGACATATATCTGGATGTTTTATTCCCAAAGTGGTTGTACTTTTGGGGGAGAATTGGGGAGGCCACAGCACTGATTTTGAGGCAAAGAGAAAGTGTTAAAGGCAAAGAAAGAGAACAGTTGACAGGTTAAGAGTGCAGTTGTATGAGAAAATGAGGGTGCATAATATAGACTTTAATGCTGTAGTCCTAATTACACCTTTAGGGAGCGAAAAGGTAAAGGACCCCTGGACGGTTAAGTCCAGTCAAAGGTGACTATGGGGTGCAATGCTCATCTCGCTTTTCAAGATGAAGGAGTAAGTTCAGTTCAACAGGGCTTATGAATAAACATATTTAGGATTATACTGGAATGATGACACTCCGATCATTAAAGGTAAAGGGACCCCTGACCATAAGGTCCAGTCGTGGCAGACTCTGGGGTTGCGGTGCTCATCTCGCTTTATTGGCCGAGGGAGCCGGCGTACAGCTTCTGAGTCATGTGGCCAGCATGACTAAGCCACTTCTGATGAACCAGAGCAGCACACGGAGACACCGTTTACCTTCCTGCTGGAGCGGTTCCTATTTATCTACTTGCACTTTGATGTACTTTTGAACTGCTAGGTTGGCAGGAGTAGGGACCAAGCAACGGGAGCTCACTCCATTGCGGGGATTCAAACCGCCAACCTTCTGATCAGCAAGTCCTAGGCTCTGTGGTTTAACCCACAGTGCCACCCGCGTCCCTATCTTGTGCAGGTTATCAAAGCAGATGTGCATCTTGTTACCTCTGTTGTCACCTTTATTTTAAATCACCTTGGGAGTAGTATTGAGTGGTGTTGCTGTGTTTTGCAAAATACCACCCATTAATCCTGGTGGCAGTAAGTAGTGGACTGTGCCAGGTTGTAATATCCTGTTCAGCTGCAAACAAGCACTCCTGAGGTTGTTGCTTAAGATTACTGTATTCTTGTGTCTCTTATGATGCAGAAACTCTGGAAGCACATCAAGCACAAGTACGAAGAGCCACGTGACGAGTGAAGCAGAAATGGCTGGATTCCTGATGAACCTTCTGTGATCTTCACTACAAGCTCTTCTTCTTGACCACCAACTGCTGTGGCAGAAAATGTTTGTCCATATGTGGCAGTTTGATCCAGAGTGCATCCTCTCAAGAACAAGCTACCTGGGCTTATGAACTTATTTTGCTGTGAAATGTAGCTTAATAAAATACATTCTAAGACATTGTGTACTTCAGACCTTCCGTTTTAATTTCCTCTGAGCTGATTCCTTAGAAATGTGGGACTTTAGCTCTCTATTTTTGGATAAAGAAAAAAATCAATGAACAGCATGCTATTCTGTGCCTGCTCTCACCTAAAAATCTGCAGGCATTTATATGCTTAAGGCTAGTTTAAGTGTCCGCTTTCTAAATACTTGTTTATTTGGAAAGCCTCAAATAGAGTGATGCAAAATCTTCAAGCAGATCCGCACTGAGTGGGGCTGCTTTCTGTTCAGGGTGCCAACCTTGCCCTCCATCAGGTTGGGTAACCTGCAATCCTCTAGAAGTTGTTGGAATACAGTTCACATAATCCCAGACCACTGATTGACCATGCTGGCTGGGGATGAAGGCAGTTAAGAGTTAAACCTATGGAGGGGGACAGGTTAGAACCACTCCTGCTCTATAATGTGAAGAGGCTCAAGCAGAGCATTCCACTACCGCCCTCCACCACAGGTTTACTCTGGAAGACAGCCATTGGTGCAGAACCCCCCATTGCTAGACTACAACTCCCATCATCCCTGACCACTGGCTATGCTAGGTGGACCTGATGGAAGTTTAGCAGCAGCTGGAGAGCCACAGGTTCCCCACACCAGGTGTAGACTCTACTGAGCTAGATGGACCAGTGGCCTGACCCTGCTATAAGCCAGACTCCTTTGTTCTTAACTCTTTTAAAACTTTGCTACAGTGCTGGACAAATGGGAAAAAATCTTCCCTTCCTAACTTGTAATAGCTGCTGACGCTTCATGATCAATGCAATCAAGGTAAAACCATTATGCAGGAACTGACCAAATCAGCAAAAGCTCACTCTATGCTGCCTTTCTTTTGGCTGATTTCCATGCTGCAGTATTGACTGAAAATGCCATCCTATCAGATTTCAAGTGCCTGTTCTTGGGGTCCGCCTGCTGCTGAGCTGGTTCACTTCACTGATTCAAATCTTGGCACTAGACTTAACGTGGAATTACATTAGGTAAGGTTCGTTGCTAAAGAACACCCAACTGACAGGGTGAAGTTTTGGTTCCTTATGAGGAAAATTTCAGTGCACAACTTTTGACACATCAGTGCTTTTCAGAGCTGTGTCAAAGTGTGTTCTAGCCCATCACCTGCTGGGCAGGCCCCAGGGGTTCTCATGGACCGGCTGAGGCCAGTACATTTATTGTATGCCCAGCATCAAAATAACATTGGTGCCAGATATTTGAACAGCTGTGTGCTGGGGGAATAGGAGAGCCCCACAGCCTGGGTATAAGCACAAGACACACATATTTAACGGACAGGAATCTCTCAACCTTGCTGAAGTTTGAACTGGCTGCAATTATCAATGAAAACATTTGACGGAATGGGTGGAAGAGACGGGTGACTAAATCAGCCTATTAGTGAAAAAATGTAAGTGGAGTGCCTAGTCGAAGTTCAAAAGTGGGATACGGGGTGTGTGTGGAATCAGGAAGTACAAATTCTAACATCTATTTCCCCTTTCTCTTTTGGAGGGATAGGGAGGAAAACTAAGAACGCATGCCTTACTTTGTCCCCAATTCTTTTCCCAGCCCTTAGCATTTTGGGGAGTCTTCTGAAGTGGTAAGTAAGGCCTCTGTTTCTAAAGATCTTCATCCCCATTTAGGCTCATGAGATGCCTACACACAGATTTCACACTTGCCTACTGCAGTAGAGTACAAAGTACAGTCGAACTTCAGTTTTCAAACGTCTTGGCTGCCAAACGTTTCTAAAGCCAAACGCCAAAAACCCGAAGTGAATGCTTCTGTTTTCGAACGCACCTCGGAAGTCAAAGGACTTCCAAGGTGTTTCTCAATTTTCCCCATTGAACTCTCTGACCGCCCTTTGATCCTCTATTTTTGAGTATTTCGGAAGGAGGTTGCAAATATAACATCATTATGCAATAATAATAGCCCAGAACATGGTCTGAAGATACATGAGCTCACCATTTTGCTTGCTGGAGCTAGGTTGGTCTGGGCAGTAAGAAAAAAATTGACATGATGCAGGATTGAAAGCATGAAGTACTTTACACAATCCTGATGCGTAATTTAGGAATTCGCTAAGAATAAAAGTTGGAGATGATGGCCAATATCTATAGATTTCTTGAAAAGGGCATTGGGCCCACTATTCAGGTGGACATAGGAAGTTGCCTTGTATGGAGTTAAATCGCTGGCCCATTTAGCTTAGTATTGTCTACACTGACTGGCAGCAGCTCCCCAGGGTTTCAGGCAGGTGCCTTTTTCCAGCCCTACCTGGCCATATTGAGGACTGAACCCAAGACCTGCGTGCAAAGCAGCTGCTCTACCACTGAGCTATGACCCCTCTCCCAGAAGTAGTACCCCTCTGCACAACAGAGGCTAGAGGCAGAACACAAGTAGCCCCTCACTTTCACACCCTGCTTGTGGGCTTGCAAAAAAGCTGGTGGAAAACATGGTGGACTAGTTGGGAACTTGATCTTTGGTGCTGACAAATGTTCACAAGGAACTGCCTCCACAGCAAGGTCCATTGTGTCTGCATAAATATCTTTGTTGCATTCCCCTATAAATAACAATGCACAGCTGTTGCAGTTCTGTGTAATGGGTTGCTGGTTGTTACATGCTGATGCTCTCCATAAACTAGAACGGAAAAGTACTGTCCCTTGGGATAAAGGCATTGCACTGTGAGCCTCTAAGAGGAAGAGTTGCCCCATGCTCCACCTCTTCAGGAAGGGATCATGCCTTTGTTTCGCTTCCGGTCTGCCATGGCACGCCGATTATGATTAGCCCTGGTCCCTTTGCTGGCTTCTTTCTTCCTGCGCTCCTGGACTGTCTCTCGGCTCTGGCCATGTCCCTTGGCGCTGCCCAAAATGACACCTGAATTGTCCGGCTTGTGCCTGCGTAAGAGGAAGAAGAAAAGTTCCATTGCTAAGTTCCACCAAATAGGCACAACAAATCTCGCTGGTAGTGTAAGAAAAGGGAGGGGAGGGGAGGCAGTACAGGTCGACAGAAACTTAATGGGTCTGAGCACCAGAGGGTCACAGTAATCATGAAATACAAAATCTGTAGAAAAGACAGGGACAGCCATCTCAGAAGTGATACTGCTTATATGTCAAATGTGGCGGTTTCCAAGTAATGAAAAGTTTTAAAAATTCCGCCAGGGGAGCAGTGGGCCTCCAGAAGATTCTGTACATCTCCCATCATCTCTGAGCATTGGTCATGCTGGGCAGATGGAAGCAGGAATTCAACATCCCCCAAGTTTCCCCTCCCAAGATTGCTGTGCTTGTTTATTATTATACATTGTACCCCATCTTTCCTTGAAGGAGTTTGAGGCAGCATCTGTGACTCTTCCCTTCCCCATTTTGTCCTCCCACAAACCCTGTGAGTTAGGTTGGGCTAAGAAACATCAACTGGCCCAAGGTCACAAGTGAAGTTCATGGCTGGTTGAGTGTGGATTTGCACACAGGCCTCCCAAGTCCTTGTCCAACATTCTGACCACTAAACTGCAAAGGCTCTCAGGTATACTTCTAAATATTAGTCCCTCAAAGTAACAGAGCACTAGAGATATACTATTCTCCATCCCACCAATCAAAACTCTGACACAGCCTCTTTTATTTCCTTCAGACATCTGAAGACAGGACAAAAGGAGTAAATCTTGTGTTAGTGGAAGCCTTCAAGTGCCCTCACACTAACTGGGTAAATACACATTGGGGTCACAGTTATGATTTGTAGACATGATTGTGCCTTAGGATAGTTAGTCATGGAAGCAGCCCTTGATTTAATCTTGTAGGGCGCCCAGGACCCTCATCCAAGTGGTTCTGACCAGTAGTTTGCGACTGTGCTCACAAAGTAATCAAATTCAGCACATATGTGAACGGAAAGCCCAACATATTCACAGTTATATTTCTAAAGGGGGATGGGCAGAATAAAAATGAGGGAATTGGTGGAAAGAAAATGGGAGACAATGAGGTTGTCACAAATGGGACACAAAAAGGCTGGAACATAAGAAGAGGCTGCTACGTCAGACCAATGGCCCATCTAATCCAGCATTCTGTTCTCACAGTGTCTATAGAAAACCTACAAGCAGGATTCAAGCACAAGAGTACTCCCTTCCCCACCCACCCCTGCGTGGTTTTCTTAAGAAGCATTGCTGCTTCTCACAGTTAAAGGTGAACATAGCTATGCCAGTTAAAGGTGAGCATAGCTATGCCAATGACAGCCCTATGCTCTATGAATCCGTCCAATCCTCTTTTCAAGCCATCCAAGTTAGTGATCGCTGCCTCCGGTCAAAGCAAGCTCCATAGTTAAATATGTGGTTTGTGAAGAAGCAGGAGGCTCAGGGTTAAAAAAAAGATGGGCGGGTGGGAAAAGGGGAACTGACAGTGAAAAAAAGACATTGAAATAAAATGCATTTAAATGCTAAACAAGTTACAAACTAATCAGGGAAGCAGCAGGAATGAGGTACAACAACAACAATATAAATACCCCATCCAGCTGACTGGGTTGCCCCAGCCACTCTGGGCAGCTTCCAACAGATATCAAAGCATAATAAGACATCAAACATTAAAAACATCCCCATAAGATTAGTCATGGTCAGCTGACACTCCCACTTTAAAAATATCTGCTGAGAAAGTCCTCCAACCCTTTGGAGTAGATTTAAGGGGATGCGGAGGACTAAAATGAGGAGGGGTAATCACCCAAACGTTTTCCCCTCCCCATTCATCTGATGGAAGCTTTCCTGTCAGCTGAGCAACTTCAGCTGGATACAGCACAGAGCAAGTCACTGGGCCTACATGGCTTGCAACCAAGAATTCTTGGAAGAACTCAAATGTGAATTGCTGATCTTCTAACAAGAGTACACAATCTTGTTCATGAAACTGGTTTTCTTAGCATTGAAAGGGATAGCCAACATAACACCCATTTTAATATTGCACAGAGGAATTCCAAGTCCCACGGATACGGCAGTGGCAGCTAGACCAGCTGTCTGTGGTGAAGGGTTGTCAG